ATCGGGTCGTGCGTGGTACGCGTAGATGGACTATTTAGCTGGCAACAAGTGGGCCTGACTCTGCTTCTGATCTTCTTGAGCTGGTCGTGACGGCGAGTGGATGAGGGGGGGAGAGTGCGGTAGATGCTGTGCCATTCAACTATCACTATAGACGACTACACGAGCAAGTCACCGTCCCTGCGCCCGGCATGCTGTGGGGCTCACGGTGAACCTGGTATTCGTGACGGTCGGACTGTCGTACTTATCGTTGTCCATTCTCTGTATATTTTATTAAGCTGGGCCAAGAAGAGGTTGATCCTGCTCACGTTCAGCTAAGCCGTGTCTTAGGGAACTGTCGTCGATATTAAATGCGTTTAGCATGTCGCCTAATCCTTTTTCACATTGTTCCTTGTTGGATTATGGAGTGAAAGGCAAAAAAACCAGAAAACTTTGGGACGCCTGGTTCCGTGTTTTTCCTCAGTCAATATAAAACTAGTTCCATTATCCGACCGGACAGAATTTAGCGTTGATTTTAAAGGGCGTCTTCCTCGACAAAGTCAGAAATGCAGTATACTGTATTACCGAACCCATGGCTTTAACCGGCGCCTGTTGGAAAAAAGCTGTTTATCTTCATGTGGCCTCGTTTAGAGAATGTTTACACGTACTTCACTTCAAGAGCATGTTTATAGGTATATACAACTTTAAATCTTTCATTTTAATGAAAGCCTGATCATCAGGTCGTGACGTTCTCATTAGGGGGCCCGCTCATTTTTTTCCGTTTGACTGTTTTAGCACTTTTTTAACTTTCAGGCCGCTGTACAAGATGACCCGGTTCAGTGTGCTAGCGAAGAGGCGGAGGAAAAGCCATTAAAAATGAAGGTAATTTTAACTTCATTTTGCAACTTAGCGCTTCATACGGGATATTTCTTCCCCATTAAAAAATCCAATTAGTTATGAAAAGGCTGGACGGCTACGCTTTTGAAAGCAGTTCTGGCCTGCTCCGCTCCATTCTTAAATTTTGACCGAGGTCTCTTATGGGATCTCAGGGCAGTCGTCGTTGATTGGTCAATGGACTTGCATGCCT